ACATACATATATACATACATACATACATACATACACATACATATATACATACAGTACATATATACATATATACAGTATATGGAATTTATAATACTGTATTCACATTTGGCAAAATCATACAAAATTGTATGTGCAACATGTACCAAATTATACACATATATAAACATATATACTGTGTATTTACACAAACTAAAATTACTGAAGAGTTAGTAAAATAAAGTAAAAAGAATCACAGTGTCAGACATTGAACTTTTGTGACCCTTCTTTCTCGAATGAGATCCATGTAAAAATTGAACAAATTGCCTCAATTTAACAGACCACAGAGAGCAGGAACATACAGCCTTCTGGATCATTGTGTTCTCTCCAGAACCTCAAGGTTGCCTTGATTAAAAGACAGACAACAGCCTAACAGATGGCAGGTTTTGTCCTGCATTTACAACACTGTTTTGTGCTGCTGACCAATCAGCAGCCTCCAGTTACTGTACATGTCAACAAGAATGTGTACTGGAATTTACCAATGGGAATCAACAAGGATGTGTACTGGAATTTACCAATGGGAACACATCACAATAGTAATAATAATAAATGACGGTTGCAATGGCGTTTTTTCCCCCCACATATAACAATAGTTGCAGAAAAAGTCATGTGAATTTCTTTTTTTTTTTCTTTTTTCTACCCACTTTTTTGTTGGAGTTTTTAGACCTAAAAGATGATTCATCAAGAATCTTTCAATTATTCTAAGAACTTTATAAATATCTTGTTTTTGAACTTTCGAAATAAATCACCATTTCCTGTCGCTGTTCCTTCCAGTCCATGCAGAGCAAAAGATAAGAGGAAACAACAATTCATCTGCTTTAGGGAGCCCTTTGTTTAAATCAGTCTGTGTTTAGATAAGAATGTCCTGACATGGACATCTAAGAAAACACTACTTTCCTCTATCAACTGCCTAATGTTGTCTCTCAGTTATCTGATCACGAGGTCCTTCACGTTGTCTGGTGTTGTGTTTTCTTGCATAAAGAACAGTGATGAACAAAAATGAAAGTGACGAACGGAGATTGGGTGCGTAAATCTAAGGTAAAACCTGTGGCGACGGAGATCAGAAACTGCTGTTTCAACGACAGTAAACATGTCATCGATAAAATGAAATGTTTTGTGGGTAATTATTACCTGTTGTCTAAATAATGACAAGTCTTGGGACATGGTCAACAACCGGTGACAACCAGGTTCCATTAGCACAGCACATTAATGACTTCCTGTTTTTAAACCCTGCAATAGTGACAGGTGCTTTCAACACCTTGGAACTTGGTATAAACTAGCACCTTAAACAACACACATTCAACTTGAGGACAATCATAAAGTCATCAAACAAAGAACAACACACTTCAAAACTTAAGGAAACATTATTGATTCTCTACGAAATCAAATGCAAATGACAGTATTTATTGAGCTTAAAGAAAACCATCCAAACATTCACATTTTATACTGTATTATAAACACATCTATTCCCAGTAATGTTCCCGATCATCTGTCCTCCTCGTCGCTCATGCCTTTCCCTTCCACACTGTCAACTTATACATAAAAACACTGACAAAACATTAAAATTCTACAGTCATCAGCTGATCTAAATTCAACCCACGCCCTTTTCCACAGATCCATTTTAAGTCTTATCACCAAGCACTGTACACTATGACCTTATCAGGAATTCAAGGTCTGCCAGGTGACAAAGTGACCCCGTGCTACGTCCTCTGATAAAATCATGTCTGCCTCTCTGGATCCTGCTGACACAAACTCTGACTGCATCTCATATCAGCGTGTCCCTGCTGCGCTAACCAAAAGCAGCTGATGTGAAAGGCCTCGAACACAGACCTACTGCTTCCTGCTACCTCACAAGTCTGGAGCTAACAGCACAGCTAGGAACTACTTTGGTTCCATTAGTAAATTTAGGTCGGCCATTTGGACCACTCTGATGGTGTTCCCCAGGGCTGAGTCGACGCATCATTACTGTTCATTAGTTACATTCTACGCTTAGTCATATAATCTATCACGATGGCCTCGATTTTCTTACTACGACGCAGACAACGCAACTCTGTTCCTTAAACAAGTATACTGACAAAGTCCTATCTAGTTTGGCTTTAAACTTTCTCAAATATGAAGTCCTTTTTACTGCATAATGATGAAGTGCTACTAAAATCGGAACAAACTCTGACACAGTTAAAGATCCCGTCATGTCTCTGGTCTGCTAGCAAATTTACTGCTGTTTTTTGGTCAAATTAAGCATCAAGTTTTTAAATATACCAATACTCCAACAATGGAAATACTCTAATTTTACTCTGTAGTACAGTACCAATTACATAAGACTGTCACCTGTGTATACTTCAATAGCAAGAATTAAAAAAAAAAGATGTTCATTTAGATACAAATTTCAAGATCATCGACAAATATCATTAAATTATGTCAACAATTTGTTCTTTCAAGAACTTAACCAGACCAAAAAAATTGAATATTTTATTTTGAAAATCCCATTCCCTCCTCATGTTGGTTTATATACATTAACATCACATTAAGTTGCTCAGCTCAACCCTCTCTCCAAATCTATGGCTTGCTTTCAAACTTTTCCATTGTAATCAATAACAATGAAACTGAAACACATTTTACTTTGTGTTCACCCTATATGAATGCATGAATAAACAGACCCCAGATCAGTTCTTTTATTCAGGCGAATAATGTACTCCTTCATCGTCAGCTTGTGTTTTTCTGCTTGACTTATCCAGCGAGGCTCTGATTAATCACAAGAATAAAGCATTCATTGAAACCATGCTCGCTGCTTAACACGTTTACCAAGCAATAGGAGGACGAAGGGCATGATTAATATACACCTGTCATATCCCATTACATTAAATCTGAAAAATGACTGACTCTGTCTTGTCCTGTCTTCCATTCAGCCCCCAACACTCAATCACAGTCGCTGCTCTTGATTGATAAACGTGCTGTGGCATCCGACTCTGAAATCTCGCAAATCCGATCCTAGGGTTGTACGTATGTACAACAATTAAGTGATAATTGTAATCTATAGTTATAATAAAGTATTTAAAAAATAATAGTGGATTTCTGCAGGATCCCATGGAGGGCTGCAATGGCTTTTAGTAGAAATGAAAAGCTCATTCAACCAGGAGTCATTCAATCCAATCCCTACGTCTAATCTGTGATCGATACAGTATAATAAGAGCTGCAGCTCATTTGAGATTTAATGGAAAGACATTTAGAGAGCGGCAACTACAAGAAATGGCACATAATTATCAGTTAATGTGCACAATTCAATGCCAGTCTTTAAATAAATTGAATGATAATAAAAAAAAAAGAAAAAGAAATCGGGCAATCATGTCTCATGAAAGGCTATAATTTACTTGGTTTTATGCACAGTAATCATTCTGTCATTCCAACATTTTTAACTGATGGTGCAGCAGCTCCTCTAATATGAATGTTATTATATTGTCTCTGATATAAAATGGTACAGCCTTGATTGCGTGTCACGATTGCCTGTGAAAAAACACTGATATACTGTAGGTGCATGAAAGTTTAACCAACAAACAAGTCTAAACAGAATTAATTTTTTTTTCTTTAGATCATGAGCGGATCGGGAAAGATTCCTCCTACGAGCAGGAGGGAAAAGTGCAGTTTGTCATCGACGCCGTCTACGCCATGGCTCACGCTCTACACAACATGCACAAGGATCTCTGTCCTGGGAAAGTCGGGCTTTGCCCCAAGATGGACTCCATCAACGGCACGCTGCTGCTCAAGTACATTCGCTACGTCAACTTTACAGGTGCGTGCGGCTGCACAGCAGATCACAATCGACACATTTGGAGTTCTGTCCGTGGAGGTGATTTGTCAAACAGTCGACAGGAAAACATCACAAATGTTTGTTTTCTTCTATCTGTAGCAATAGTGACTGAATGCCCTCACGCGGAGGCTTTGAAAGAACACGACTGTCTCGGTTTATCAGTACTCTGAGTGTACTGAACGATTACTTTGATGCAGTATAGGATACTCTGTAGATCTGTAGGAGGGCTGACAATCAGCAGCAAACTGCTGTGGCTTTATAAGAACGAGACTTTGTGAGATTCTGTGCCTTATCCAAACTGAACTGCCCACGCAAAACACTTTCTGTTAAATGTTTACTGGATCTTCACTGTACGACGTTCACAAATGAGGACAGAAAAAGAACAGGTTCACGGTGCCTTTATATATTAGTGAAGAAACTACACAGAAGGTACACTGATTGTAAATTAGGGGGATGTGCATGAAGTCATCTCATAATAACAAGTGATCATTAAGAAAATGCTTCTTTTTTTTTTTGGTAAGTATAATTGTTAATCAAGTAGAACGACGACTCCTGGGAATCAGACCAGTAAAAAAAATCAGAAAACCAGTTCTCGATTCCCCGTCTTTACAAATGGAGTCGTCAAATGACCAGCGTTTACAAATGTTTTGTGCCGGTTTGGAAGCCATGGCAAGACTCTTAAATCTGGTTGAGTAAAGTAGTTACAATAATTTCCTATAATTTCTTGTCAGAGACGTGGAAGGTCAGAGAGCTCAAACAATCAAGGGAAATGTAAGGACAGCGACCGACACAGGCTTGAACCTGCTCCACTCTCAGAGATGATGTTTGAGTCGTACGACAGTCAGAGAGCAGGGTCTGTGGGTCAGGGACCGTCAAACTACAGCAAGTGAATGATGGGAGTCGTTTTATAGCCAATGAGAAATATATGAAACTAGAAAAACGGTTACTGTTCCTGCCCTGGAGCCGAGGAAAACAAATAAAGGTTAAACCCTTGGTGGGTTTGTGTGGAGCTGTATGTCCTCTCCACTGTCCAAAACCATGCAGGATTAGGTTAATTAGAGACTGGACGTTCGTTTTCTCTTTTGGATGCGTGTCAGAAAGAACACTTTCTATCGTGGAGTACAACGCTCCAGTTTAGTTGTTCTGGTGGAACATTTTTTAGTTTTTATTTTTATCTCCCAGGACTGTCAAAGGTAACAGGGTAATGACCAATTAATGCAGATGAACTCCACTATGTTTTTGACATGCAATCAAACCGCCTGTGATTTCACCGTGGGTGGAATCAGGAAGCATTCATGTGATTAAGACACAGTGTGTAAATGGCAGAAACATGAACGGGAAAAATAATCTTTTATCGTATCTGTGGCAAATCTAGCTTCAAACCAAAGCTACAACAAGAAGTGATTCTTTACTGTGCACTACACGGTTATGTTTTTATTGTTTTTTTACACATTCCACAAATACTAATATCTATTTATTTAATACTAATATATATATATATTTAATATTATATATTATTGTTATTTTATCATTTTAAATAATAATAATCATCATTATTATTATATCTATAAGCAATTAAATAAATTATTTTCCAATGATTCTACATTAAAATATTGAATTACCTTAAACCAAACTGCTTCCCCCTGCAGGGGAGAAGACATAATGTTCCCAAAAAAAAACAAAAAAACATTGAAACCCAGAAGTTTTGCTCTACACAGAATCAATACAATCTAAACTTCAGTGAAATTAAATGATAATACATGAAGTCAAAGAGACGGGGGCACGGCTGCTCTGTGTGACACTGAGGGTCATGAACTCCACCGCCTCCAGCTGTGAGCTATTTGTTTCATTTTCGTGACGTCTTTCTGTCGGTTATTTTTGCTCAAGCCTCAGTTTTAAAGCCTGTCAGCAGTGGAGATATTCAGGTTACAACTGGGATGGCTAAAAGAACAAATCAATAATACATATTACTGGAACAGTCCTGCTTCTAAGAGTCCTTGGACTCGAAGGGATGTAGAATCTAAAAGGTTTGGAGGAAAACTGTAGGACATGTGACGTGATCCCAGGTTATTCCTGGAATTGTCCGTCGTCTGCCGTGCTGACCGAAGGAAAGACGAAACCCAAACATTACAGATATTGTATGTGAAACTCTCAGTAATGCGTTGTATTAAGGCAACAATCTTATAGTATGGACAGGGTTCATGAAGAAAGGACATAAAGAAGAATCCAGAAGTCATCTAAGCTCCCAGAGTTTAATATTCTTTTTTTTAAAATAGCATTTGATGCAAGAAGACAATAAATGTCAAAAGCTATAAATCATACAGTAGGCCCTATGGGCTGCACAGAGGTACTGCAGGGAGTTTGTAAAATATTTTGACCAATAGAGAAAACGCCTGATGAGCTGAATAAAATCACAATCAATATAAGAAACTTTAATCTCTGAATTTTTTTTCGTACGCTCAAGAGACTTTTTCTTTAATGTCTTCCTGGAACATTAGAAGTGGAAACCACATCATTGTGTTCAATTTCTTGAGTTGCTGAGGTGGCAAAAAAAAAAAAGAAAATCTTCATAATTACAAGATTTCCTGTGGTTGTCCAAGACTTGCCCTCTAGATAAAGCAATGAGACGGAGCTGGGGCAATTATCTCCGTTGGGGTTTTGATCAGACCTCTCTCTGTCTTTAATAAAATACGTCATATTCCACAAGGAACACACAGGTCAAAAGACCAATCAATGCAGCTACTGGGACCTTAACAAAATCAAAAAGCCAATGAACAATTACTTTAGTGCAAACACTGGGAAAAGTGGTTAGCTGGCTTGCCTTACTAAAAAAAAAGGCCACATTTTTTGGTTCAATTCCAGCAGTGTATCAGGACTTGGTTCAATTCCAGCAATGTATCAGGACTGGCAGGACTCGCCCTCCGTTTCATCTCACCACATCACAAACCAAACGTCCAACACTACTACTGTGTCCCTCCGTGTTGATATCAGACCTTTTAACAGAACGTCCCCTCTCTCTCTTATAGGAATTGCTGGCACACCGGTGGTCTTTAACGTCAACGGAGACGCTCCCGGCCGCTACGAAATCTACCAGTACCAGATCGCAAATAACACAGCAGAGTACAAAATCATAGGACACTGGACAGATCAGCTTCACTTGGATGTAAGTGGTTTTGATGACTGTTGTTTTGTGCTGTGTTACAGGTCAAAACAATAAACCAAAAAAAAAAAAAAACATTTGGCATTCAGACAAAGGCATTTGGGGTTCTCCTAAAAATGATATAATGCTCTTGGAATTGAAGGCCTAAATCTGTGCCTTCACCAACAACTAGTGCTGACCATCGGTTCTGCAGGAACGAAGCGAAATGAAGGAATGTTTATCACAATTACTCCAAACATCTGATCAAGTCCACCCTCCATCAATGAGGAGTTAACTGACACAGAGGCAAATGTTTTGTTTTATGTGGATTTATTTCCCATTAACTGAGCCAAAGCAGTCATTTTACTTCCATTACATGTGACATTTACAGGAACTCTATTATTATAGGGGGTGGGGGGGCATTCACCTTCTCATAACTTCTCACTGGTATCAGAGATAACTGGTAATGTATCTTGCTTATGCTGTGTTTGATAGGGTCACAGCTGACAGAGTAATACCACTAATAAATCCTCCCTTCTGGTTCTGCTTTTGTAAACACACAGGCTGACGGATGCTGCAGCGCTCACGATTGTAATGGAGTGTTTCCCCCCCCCACACACACACACACAGGATACATGTATTAGCACAGTTGTATTTAAATGAGGGACGCAACTTTATGTGTTCATCTCATATTGATGAAGTTTCACGTATTTGCATCAAAACTGCTTCGGTGTGAATGTTCAACTATTGGAGGATGGATGAGGACGTAACCGTCTACGTGACACCAGGGTGTTTGTTTTGTTTGTTTTTTTTTTATTGTAGATATTGCAGGCCTAGCGTTAGTTTATTGAGAGCATTAAGGTTCGGAGTTACTGCCGCACAGAACTCCACGTACATTATTAAGAAAAAGGTTTATAATGATAACAAATCATTCAAATGTTTGAAAAAAAAAATTACCTGCTTCATTTCTCTTCACGCTCGATGTCCCTTATTAAGATCTTAGAAAAATGTGTAATGCAGTACAAGAACACAGTACTGTAGTGTTGAAACAGCAGCTTCAAGACCTTATATTATCACAGGAGGAAAACAATGCAACTTTGTTGGATTGTTGGACTCTATTACATAGCACAGTTTTTAAAACTGTTAGAAATATATCACAGGAGGAAAACAATGCAATTACATAGCACAGTTTTTAAAACTGTTCTTACTCACGAAAGAAGGAATGTGTTTTGCCAACGAAATAAAAACAAATCTATGAACTCGTATTACTGGAACGAACTGAAGAGAAAAATCAAAGTATCCAAAATAGTTGAGGAGGAGGAGGCTGAACTGTCTTTCACCTTTTTTCCAAGAGACTTTTTCCCCTTTCATATCAGACAGGACTTTAACTGACATATTTTACTCTCCCTCCTCAGATCCCTGATATGCAGTGGCCGGGAGGAACACAAGACACCCCTTCCTCTATCTGCAGCCAACCCTGTCGACCCGGACAGCGCAAAAAGACGGTGAAGGGGATTCCATGCTGCTGGCACTGCGAGAACTGTGACGGTTACCAGTACCAGGCGGACACTCACACCTGTAAGATGTGTCGCTTCGACCTGCGGCCTAATGACAACCACACTGGATGCGTTCCAATTCCCATTGTCAAACTGGAGTGGAGTTCCCCGTGGGCCGTCATCCCCGTCCTCATCGCCGTCCTGGGCATCATGGCTACAGTGTTTGTTGTTGCTACGTTCATACGCTACAATGACACGCCCATCGTTAAGGCGTCGGGTCGAGAGCTGAGCTACGTGTTGCTGACAGGAATTTTCCTCTGCTACGCTACGACATTCCTCATGATCTCCACCCCTGACGTGGTTGTATGCTCGCTCAGAAGGATTTTCCTGGGCCTGGGAATGAGTATCAGTTATGCAGCGCTGCTCACAAAGACAAATCGGATCTTTAGGATTTTTGAGCAGGGCAAGATGTCCGTCAGCGGCCCCCGGTTCATCTCCCCTGCGTCCCAGCTGGTCATCACATTCAGCCTGATATCAGTGCAGCTCCTCGGAGTGTGCATCTGGTTTGGGGTCGACCCATCACAGGCCATCATCGACTACCAGGACCAGCGAACCTCCAATCCTGACATGGCCCGAGGGGTCCTGAAGTGTGATATTTCAGACCTGTCCCTGATCTGCCTGCTGGGTTACAGCATGCTGCTGATGGTAACCTGCACGGTTTATGCTATCAAGACCAGAGGTGTTCCCGAGACATTCAACGAAGCCAAGCCCATCGGCTTCACCATGTACACCACCTGCATCGTGTGGCTGGCTTTCATCCCCATCTTCTTTGGAACTTCACAGTCAGCGGAAAAGGTAAATACTGGTTCTGGAATATTGTAATAACTGCTTTCTCAAAAACTAACTAGTTAGCTGATCATGAGGCCTTGGGAGTTGAACCGAATATATTCACCCACCTTCAGTTCTTAGACAAGGCCAAGAAGAAGGTTGTGACCAGGAGCCAAAGAAATGATTTTTAAATGTCTACTCTTCTGACTAAATCAGTTATTGGAGGATTATTCATTTTAACGTTGAGTGCTAAAAGGACATCATTATGTGTGGATCAAAATTTGATAGAGAGATTGTCAAAGAGTAAAATCACAGAAACTGATGAACTGATTAATTAAACTGATTTTATCATTATTTTACAAATAATCATAACATATTTTATGACATATCAAATTATTTTTTGCTAATTCACAAATGAATAATCATGAAATCACTTAAACTCCAAATTTTTTTTTTTTTTGGACATATTGCTGAAATAAATAAACTGAGTATCTGGTGACAAAGAATTGCAAATCCAAATTGCAAGTGAATGTAATCACACACAGGACCAGAGACTGGATGACTAATGACAAAAGAAGCAATCAGCTGCACATGAACCCTTTAACGGCTCCACTCAATAAGGTTGCTGTTCTCTGCCTCGCGCCCTCGCTGCACCGTTGTAGCAAATTGGCAATCATATCTGCGTGTCGCAGAAAATTTATGTCACCAGGGCCGATAGGTGGACAAAGGTCTTGGCTCCCCGCGTTGAGTGACTCCTCTCTGTACTCCAGAGGAGCAGCAATATTGTTCCGCAGTCACCCCGGGCCAGGTGTAATCTTCTCAGGAGATTACAGCTTACAGCACACACACACACCCCCCCCCCCCCCCCCCCCCATCTCTCGTCGAAAAACGTGTGTGTGTGTGTATGTTGACTGCTTGCAGTATAAAGGAATGCAACTTTTATTTTGTCAGGTTGGTTTATTCAAAGGGGGTCTTTATCACAGCAGGGGGGTTTAATCTATTTATGACTTGGAATAATTATGACAAAGAATAAAAAGAGTTTCTGATTTCACAGAACTTCAGTATTTGATGTTTAAAAACAGCAGTGGGGGGGGCGGGGGGCGCAGGTTCACAGCTTCTGTTCTTCAGTAACTCAGGTTTTCTCCAACAGCCCAGTTATTCATTCACGTTAAATCAGACCAGCGTCTTATAAGGCCCACTGGCCCCGTCTGGAACTATGGTCTATGTCTGACCAACACGCCGAACATTGGTCTGTCCAACCCTTTGAATGGGAGCTCCTATGGTTCTTTGTCTCTAAACTATAATGGACTAGTGACGTGTGAATGTGTCTCCAATAACCCTATAAAATCAAGCGGCCAGGAAACGGAAGAAATTAGTTTCCCACCGTGATATCTGAAAAATTGCATGCTAATTACGTCACAGCATGAGTGTTCAAAACTGTTCCATTTCTTCAGAGTTTTAGTCTTTCTTTATTCTCTCGAGGTTTTTTTTTTAATCTATATCATTCCTTCGTCCACCCAACTGCAAACTAAGTCATTTATAATAATATTAATTCATATCAATTCCAGAATGTAATTTGATCACATTTAAAATAAGTTGACAGCCCTTCTTTTTTTTTTTTTTTACATCACCTCAGTTATACAAGCCATTTTTTCAAAAAGTTCAAGTGTTGTAAGATGTTTTTAAAGAATAGAAAAATAACATGGCACAAACGTCTTCATCCGTCTACAGTTCATGTTCTTTAACGGTTAAAGACACTGTTCTCTCCCAGGCCAAAAAAAAACAAAAAAAAACATGAAGAATGTCAGTCAAACCGTTTGAAAAACCTTGACCGTGTTTGTACCGTGTGCTGCTCACTCCATGTTCACCAGCATCAAAACGGCCTCAGCAATCTAAGACCAACAGCTGTTCATGACAAAGTCCTTTGAAACCAGAGAAGGAGACAGACAACGCTTTTAATGCTTTACTCCAGAAGTAAAAACCTTTGACTGACATCATGGGTTTTTTTTCTGTCTGTATCCATGTGTAGAGTTTCAGTGACAAATGTGACGTACCCGTCACAATTCTCACCCCTGCTGAGTGCTGACTCACCACATTCCCCACATCATCAAATCAGAAATGGGCTGCTGTGTTTGAGTAAAGGTTTAAAAAAAAAATAAAAAACAGAAATCATGGGCAGACATCATGCTTCATGACGGCAGTGTTACCTGTGGTCGTATGCAGTATCTGTTACCCAGCTGTGAGCTGCATCTGTCGGTGGCTTCTGAGATATGCTATCTACAACCTCAGGGGGGAGACACTGATATTAAAAACACATATATTACCATTAGGCGGATAAGGAGTGGATCCATTAGTGTCCATCATAAGATTAGCACAGCAAGTGCGAAAGCATCGTAGATTATTATATATCATACTTTCGTAGCCCGGAAACAAAGATGGATTTCATCAATTAGCATGTTTTGTTTCTCAACTTGACTGAACGCCATCCAGATACTAATCTGTTTCATCTTCTCTGTTCCGTTCACAGATGTACATCCAGACAACAACCCTGACCATCTCTGTAAGCCTGAGTGCGTCCGTCTCTCTGGGACTGCTCTACATGCCCAAGGTTTACGTGGTTCTTTTCCGTCCGGAGCAGAACATGCCCAAACGCAAGCGCAGCCTGAAGGCTGTCGTCACTGCAGCCACCATGCCCAACAAGTTCAACCCCAAAGGTGGCCTGAGGCCCAACGGGGAGGCCAAGTCCGAACTCTGTGAAAGTCTCGAAACACAAGGTTGGTTTGGCGCTTGACAAAAAGGTGATGACGATGATGAGAAAATGATTTGAACCAGGAGCTCAATCGGGCTGACGCTTTCAGAGAACGTCTTTATTTGAGCATAATTAAATAATTTTAGATGACAACTAAATTGATGGCAAAATGGTTTTTGCACTTCAGCAGTTCAGGAGATTGGCAGCTTTTGTAGTTGCGTATCACAAAGGCATCTTGAAACTGCAGACTCACTTTTCAAAAATAAAAATTGTGGAAACCTCTAAGAACTACTGCTGACCTACATAGACTTGGTACATCCAATTCAGTTAGTTACCCCTTAGTTCCCAAAATAACACTGAAACAGTTTTCTATTGTCTGAACAGAGTGCAGTGTGGCAGTGCTTTAGTTCATCTCTCCCAAAATCACCAAGAGTAAAATCTTGGGAAAACATTTCTACTGGTTTCTTAAAAAAAACCCAACCAAAAAAAAACCAAAAGAAACTTCCTGTTGATAATTCATGATAATTACTTGAACACAATTCCATGCCTAAGATATTTTAGAAATCTTACAAATCAGAAACCTACTGTTATTATGCTGCAATTAGCAAGACTTCAAACATGATGTTGTTCCAGAAAGAACAATCTTTATCAGTCTTTCGCAGTACATTTTCCATAATCTTAACTTAAAGAAGTAGTACTGCAAACGTACCATTTTCTCTCTCTCTTAATCTTCTGGACTTCCTGTTCAACTGGAGAAGGTTAAAAAACACCAGACTAGAACAGCTAGAGTTCAGACTGGATCAATTTCACTTCGAGAACACAACATGATGTAGACTTAAAATCACTCCAGTGCGTAAAACCGAGGTGGATCTCACCAAACCAAAACGCTTTGTAAAGCATTATCCGACAAGATCCGACTTACTTTGTTGGTTACGCATCAGCCCCCGTCCTGCGCACTAGCCCATATCAAAACATGTGCTGTCACACTGATGTAACTGCTGCACGACATGACAGCTGGTAATATCTTTGGAAGAGGTGTAAAACAAAAGAAAAAAAAAGAACAACAGTCTTTTCAAAAACACTAAATGGTTATTGTAAAAAATAACTGTATAAATATTTATTATATATATACATATAGATACGTACATATATAATAAATATTTATTTTATAACATTGCAGTTAAGCACCTGATTTTATGTAAAAAAAAAGGAATCATCTCTCACTCACTCCCGTTTGCTGGTGTAACACTCCAGTTAAGCAGGGCTTGTTATTTCACTTTCGCCTTTTTTTTTTTTTTTAGCTGCTGATTCTCACCTCTGGGTTTGAACTGTGACTCTAACACATGTTTTCTGTGCTTGTGTGTCAGACTGTGTTGAGGCAGGGGAGCCCTGTGAGGGACTTTAGATTCTCAGGTAACCTGGTTAGACCTGTTTCTTATATGTGACCACTCCACTGTGCTGCAGCACCATGCCTGCCCAGACCGCGCACATCACACCCACGCAGGCCTCGCACTGTAACACACGCTCACTCTCAAACCCATGCCTGACAATAAACACTGACTGACGTAAATAGAACCCGTGTGTGTGTGTGTGTGTGTGTGTGTGAGAGAGACACTGTAAAATGGCCAATCAGTGCGGTGAAGCCTATTAACGTGGGGAGATGACACCACTCGTCTTGAGTGCAGGAGGCAAGTGATAGCCATGTGTCCTCTGTAATTTGTTACCCTGTTGACAAAAGGAGGAATATGTGGTAATGGGACAACAACAACAATAAGAGAAGCCCAGAAAAAGACAGATGGGTCTGCCAGCTCCAATTCTTTCTGGACCATCTATTCTTTATCTGGGCCCCGCAGCGCATAAATATTCAAATAAGGTTCATTTATCAATGCTTCCCTTGGAAGAGATGCTCTGGATGAAATGGCGAGAATACAGTCACACAGCCCAACATGGCACTGACAAATACACAAAAACATATACCCATATTACACAGCTCTCCCAGCACAGCACGCTCCCCCCGACTCTGGCTGTCATTTGATTAGATTCATCCCTTCTGACATATTCAATCAGCCAAGGCTGCCGTGGCCTGATTGGCAGATTGCTTGTGTGATTACTTCGACAGAGCATGCTAGCTAAGGACAATAAAAATGTAGGAAAAAAAAAAAAAAAGACAAACCAGAACATGCTGACACTTGCACACAAACGAGTCCAGATAAGCATGACTGCACAGGACCACGCACAGGTACAACACCACGGTTACAGGACCTGCACTTTGGTCATATTACGTTCCTTGTAGGTTGTTTTTTTTTTTTACAGCCTGTTTTATTATACATTCAGTGAAGGAAAGAAAAAAAAATCAGATTACCACATTTCATTGAATAAAGCTGTTTAAAGGCCAAACTCCATTGTTAAGATCAATGGCTTTTTTCAACATGTGTTCAACAAACAGCACTAGAACAAGAATAGGCCCACATAAAAGTCACTGGTATATAATTTATATATATATATAAAAATCAGAATATCCAGTAAGTGGTGGCCTTACTCCTATGGAACACGGTAACGAGCCACGTTATCAAAGGTTGACAACGATGCTCAGCACAAACCAAAGGTTAGCTCAATAACTGGCTGCTGCGGCTGCATGCACACGCTTGGTGCACAGAGAAATGTCACTGGTTGCATGTTGATAAACACCTGCATATGAATGAATATTACTGCATTAGTAACAGCAATCAGCTGTGACTCAGGATCTTCAGCATCATTTGAATTGCATTTAAATGATGCAACATTTAAAAAATATATATATACTGTATATTTCCTGCTTCTGTAATGAAACATTTAACCCAGGTAAATATTCAACACATGCAGTACTTCACTACAAGAAAGTATTCAGTAATTGGTAACTTTTGAAGCTCCAGTGTGAAACAAACAGAGGACTGGCTAAAAAAAAAAAAAAAACCCGAAGTACGAGCAGCTCCATCAACATCAGATCTAAAAAAAACAACTAAAGGGTTTGAAAAGAAGTCCAAGCAGTCATATATAAATATATAAAATATATATTTATATGTCCATATATTTATATGCGTCCATATATTTATATACAGTATTGTATGGGCACAAGCACTTATTGAAAGGGAAAAAATATTTATACCATAAAACTGGAGTTTATATGTTAGAGACAGAGACATTTTGGGAATGGAACCATTTTTACCTAGATACCTTCAAAGTTTTTTGCCCTAAAATGTGTTTCACATTCACAAAAATAACATCAGTAAAACCTAACTTGAATGTAGGTTACACTGTGCTGCTGAGGAAAAGTTGAAGTATTTTCAGCTGCTGCACAGTTACAGTTCTCTGTTGTACGTTTTAACCTTTTCCTTCACGCTCCGTTCTCCCTCACAGTGCTGGCCTCCAAGCAGACCTACATCAGCTACAGCAACCATGCCATCTGAGACAGTGGACGGGACGGAAGGACGGAAGGACGGAAGGAAGTGAAGACTACCTGAGGAGAACTCACCTGATACTTTGGGAAAACGGAGAAAAGAAAAAAAAAAAACACCGAAAGACTTAAAAGCTTCTACAGAAGGTTGGGGGGTTGGGAGGAGGTGGAGAGACGGGAATTTATCGTTGTAAAAAAAAAAAATTAAAAAAAAATCGAAAGGATGTCATATTTTTCTAGAGTATAAGGTATATGGTGGAAATGCCAAACTTGGGGAAAAGTGCGTGTCGTCGGAAGGAGCTGGGAGATATCGGGAGATCGGACGGTTGATTTTCCTCTCCCCTTCCTCCGAAAGACACAAATAAGTGTTGAACAGTGAGGATTCCAGATGCAGACTGGATGAGCCTCACAGAGTCTACAGTGTCTTTCTGAAATGTATAGCACATGTTGTCAGTTCTCTCCGAGGCTGATTTATTTTTCACATTTCAACCAAAAAAAAAAAAAAGAAAAAAAAGTGGGAAATAAGTGTTCGCTTTTCCTCTTCTCCAAATGCAGTTTACAAGGTCAAGCAGTATAAAATCTATTGATTATTTTTAGCAACTGGTATTACTGGAGTATAAAGCTGCAGTACTCCCCAGACTGTACATGCCTTATTAAAGTACCATCAGTATTTCCACATAACTAACAACATCTAAATCGCCCCCAGCAGGTGGCGACGCCAGGTTTTTGTTTTAATTCCAGTTTCGTGTTTACGTTTAGTTTCGTGACAATACGCCAACGTTTTTTTTCCCAAATCTAGTGTACAGTCCCCAAGCATGTTCGTGGGAGCACCATGTGTACCGTGCCGTGTTGTCAACGTCTATGGAATGCAACGATTGTCATGGTTGTCATTCACAGTGAAAATGTCATTTTGAACCACAAACCACCCGTGTTTTAATTAAAACACGACAGGAGCCAAACACCCTTTAAATGTCCTAAAAAAAAAAAACTACACACTTAAAACATGCCAGATCTTTTGCTCTTTTATACTTCACACACACTGATGCTGTTTCAGTTTAACAAACGTAATTACTCATTAAGAAATGCAACATATTACCCAAACAGGGGGTGCCAAAAATCTAATCATCCAAGGTTTCTATTTACCCCCCGTGTGTTTCCGTGTTAACTTGATGCTGAGCTCAGTAAAAATCTGACTACGAAAAGGAAAAACCCGACAAATCAGTCTCTTGTCATAGAAGATTCATTCTTGAAAACCAGGCAATTGATTTTCTGCTTTGTTAGGAACAACTTTCCAGGGTGAGACCAGTGTTTTGTGCCACAGTAGTTGCAGTGTTTTCTGTGTTTTCTGTTTTTTTGTTTTTTTTTGCCGGGGTGTTCCCCCACTGTTAGGAGAATATTGACACTGCTGCAAAAATGAAAGTTCTGTTCATTACTTTGGGTGCAGAATTACCCTCATGCGGCTGCTCAGCTTGACGACCAATTTAAGAGATGTTGCGAGGACAGCTCTATCAAAACGCGAGGAACAGCTACAGTAATTCCATGTCACGGCGAACTCAGCACGATTGTTGTGTCTTTTTGTTAAACTCTGCAGTCTGTCCATTTGTCTTCGTCTTTTTCTCCTACCCAAAAATAAGTCCAATCTATATTTAAAAGTGTGCATCGAATCAAGTATCGAATTAAATCATAAAATCCGAAGCTTGAATCAGACTAATTTAACTATTACTTATTTGATTTAATGACTACGTAGCAGACTCGCGATGATGTCATAAACCTCCACAGAGATCACGAGAGCCGAACCACATTAGACAAAGACATTAAGGCTAGTTTAGTGCTACTGACGGTTCGACCCCCGAGACATGTCTGGTGTCTCTCAGTGACAGCTGTCAGGTAAAAAGATGATGCTGCTTTTTTTTTTTTTTTTTTCCAATTCCAGAAGTCACTCAGTAAAGGCAGGACAGTCGGTCAGACCACCGCAGGGCCTCACATACAGACCATAATAACCATTCACTCTCACTGTCGTCTGATGTAAATGTTTTCAACGCTGCGGTGACAGTTAACCTCTGGGTGAGAAAATATCGACAGTATGCTGCGTAGCCTCACCGTGACAGTAGCATAACTTCATCTAGACATTATTAGGACTTTTCAAACTGGTGAGGCCTTTAAGTCAATGCTATGATACCATGACAAGTAGAATACCAAGACAACCTGAATATTGTCAACCAAAGGCAATGGAACATACAAGGAACAAAGAAAACCTCAGACAGCAATGTCCTTGAGGTCTATTTAATCTTTTTTTATTATTATTATTTATCTCAAAAATATACTTTTCTCTACATTAGCCAAGTTTGCTGAGGAAAATGTGGCATCAGATATAAGGTTCTGCAGGCCATGTTCTAAGCAGGAATCGGAAGCTATGATTTAGAAAGTGTCAGCAAATGAGTTATGGCTAAGGTTAAAATGTTAAAGGTTAAAACGCTACAGAAGTGTCTCTTCATCCGGTGCCAAGCTTATGTTCCTGTAAAATAACAAGCACCAGTCTAAATCGAGGACCATCCTAAGTGTTTTTTTTTTTTTTTTCAGAAGTGTCTTTTCATATTCGTTCCTGTTCCCAGTTGTCTAGAAATATCTGGCATAAACTCTGGAAAGTTTGCCATTTAATGTTCAGCAATGCAAAAATCTATATGTCGCATGTCTCAAAACCAGACCAAGTCGGAGAGGAACGCCAAACGGCCAGAAGGAAAAACTACTGCGGTTTTTAAATATTACATTTTTGGGTTCAATAAATGTTTCTCAGCTTCAACTAAAGTCTACAATGTTGCCGCAAATGTTTTTTTCATAATTTAATAAAAGTATTGTTTGTGGGCTTGTTTGTATTTGTGAACATGACTTACGGCTTATATGGCACAAACCATTTTGTTTTTCTAAAAAAATTAAAATAAAATAAGTAAAAACACTTTGTCTGTGTTCCAAAATAGAACATGTTAGTGATGACTGAAATTAAATGGCAAGTTTTTGTGTGTAATTAAAATGGATTGATCATGTCTGCTTTATGTACTGAATTATTTAAAAAAAAAAAAATTAACAAGAGACAGAGAGAAAAATAAATACAGTGCCTGGATATTTATGAATTATCTATAGAAAAAGTGTAAAGCATGTTCATTTTTATACAAAATATTTCTAATAAAAAGATTGTTTTGGTAAAAAAAAAAAAAAGTGGCGTTTGTCATCATTCAATAAAATCGGCAAAATTCTTATTCACCACAATACATGGAAAACAGACACTGGTTTTGGGGGGTATTTTTTAAAGGTGAGCAAAAGGTTAAAAGAAAAGAAAGCCAAACACACGATGCTAAGTCAAAATGTTAATATCTTCTCCATTTAGGCACAAACACTTTTCATCAAATCATTTCTTCTTCTGCACCAGGTCACAAACGTCATCTCTAAGTCTTGAAATCTAGTTAAATTCTTAAGTTCTTTATCTTTCAGAGTAAAAAAAAAACTCATTAAATTTAATAAAACAAGACACAGGTCAACACATCACCAGATATACTGATAAAAACCAGTCAAACTCAATAAATTAAATAAAACAAGACACAGGTCAACACTTCACCAGATATACTGATAAAAACCAGTCAAGGCTTTTGGAACCGGCTGAGAGACGCATTTTAACAAGTTTTTTAATCACTAAAATCTGTCTTTCATCTTGTTGTCTCGTTAGCTTCCAAATAACACTGTATAAAATTTAAAAAAAACACAGTGATAAAATGACCAGGATCATTCAGCAGAAATGTTAAAAACCCATCGAACCCTTTCTGTCCAGATGGTCTTTGCAGTGAGTCTGAGGAGCTGGAGCAGCAGGGAGGATCAGAACGGCCTCCTCTGACACTGTTCTGTCTATCTAAAGTACACACTGTTGTTAACTACACACTGTTGTTAAGTACACACTGTTGTTTTGCCAAATGTAAAGTGCAACACTTTCACTTAGGGCTAATGATGGAACAGCAACAGCTATGGAGCAGGTGAGTTTCACTGGATCTGAGTCTGATTTAGAGTCAAGCATTAGTCCATCAACCTTAGTAGAAAGTGTGATATTTTTCTCACTTCATTCAAGAGTGGCTGAGCAGGTAGCCATCCACACTGACCCTCCATCAAACCACATATAAATAACACAACATGTCATTTTGCCCACGTGGTAATGATTTAGGAGCAGTCATTTTAATCATCTCTAACTTTTAATCATCTCTAACTTAATAATACAACTGTATAACAGTTTACAGCACTGTATATCCTGCATATAAATATATATTCATATATATATGAATAGATAACTAGATGCATATCTTAAAGATACATCAGATCAGTTAACATGCAGGTGAATTTGACTAATGGTTGCAGAGTCAAATATGAAAATAGTTTGCACTGCTCAACCCCTGAAGTAGAAGCATTAAAAAAAACAAAAAACATTTTCATTATTATTTATTCATGCAGGGTGTGGTGAGGTTAAGGTAAAAAGAAAGTAGAGGTAATACAGATCCAGTTTTCTATTTTATTTTATAACCCTAAACATTGGGACGATGTGCAAACTTTATACAGAAAAGCACTGGGAATTGGTAGAGGAACAACAAATTGTGACCTCGATTTTTCTCTTTTTTTTTTGTGATGTTGCCAGTATAATTTTATTGATTATGTGTTAAGTAAAGTAGATATATATTCTCTATATATTTTTTCTATATTATATATATATATATATA